CCCCACCCCATCCCAGTCTCGGATCCCCTTTTCCTTCTCAGCTAAAGCTCAAGATTCATCAGGCTCCTTCGCCTCTCACTGTCCCCATCCCAGTCACAGGCCCCCTTGGTCCCTACCTTCTCCTGCCACCCTACTCAGCCCTCAGTCCTTGCCCGAGACCGGTGGACCCACTCCTTACCCAACCCCCGGGGCTTCCTCCCATCTCCTCTTCACCCGTCCCCACCACTTTCTGTGTCGCAGCCTGCCTAGCTTCTCCTCACTTCTCTCCCTGGCCATCTTCCCCAGGTTCCAGGCTGGGTGGTGCTTGTGCCTCCTCCGTAGGCCAGAGTGGCACCAGGTTCTGGGGGTGGTGGGGCCGCTGCTTTCTCCCTATGGCACTGCCATCACTCCTGCTGTTGGTGGCAGCCCTGGCAGGTGGGGTGCGTCCTCCGGGGGCGCGGAACCTGACTCTGGCGGTGGTGCTGCCAGAACACAACCTGAGCTATGCCTGGGCCTGGCCACGGGTGGGTCCTGCTGTGGCACTAGCTGTGGAGGCGCTGGGCCGGGCACTGCCTGTGGACCTGAGGTTTGTCAGCTCGGAACTAGATGGCGCCTGCTCTGAGTACCTGGCACCGCTGCGCGCTGTGGACCTCAAGCTGTACCACGACCCCGATCTTCTGTTGGGTCCCGGTTGCGTGTACCCCGCTGCCTCTGTGGCCCGCTTTGCCTCACATTGGCGCCTTCCCCTGCTGACTGCGGGTGCTGTGGCCTCTGGTTTTGCAGCTAAGAATGAGCATTATCGTACTCTGGTGCGCACTGGCCCCTCTGCTCCCAAGCTGGGTGAGTTTGTAGTGACATTACACGGGCACTTCAATTGGACTGCCCGTGCTGCCTTGCTGTATCTGGATGCTCGCACAGATGACCGGCCTCACTACTTCACCATCGAGGGCGTCTTTGAGGCCCTGCAGGGCAGCAACCTCAGTGTGCAGCACCAGGTGTATGCCCGTGAGCCAGGGGGCCCTGAGCAGGCCACCCACTTCATCCGGGCCAACGGGCGCAGTGAGTGTGGCCCAGGCTATCTTAGGGTCAGGGGAGGAGGGTCGCTGTATCCCTGCAGCTCAGCACTGGGAAACTGTGGATGGAGGTGGGCACTGAGATGTATGTGGTGGTTGGGGTCAAGAAGCACATGTGGAGAGAGCACCTGTGAGAAGGCTAAGCCATTGTATTAGGGGAGCTTGTGGACAGCATAGGCAGATATAAACAAGGAATAAGATAGCATGAGAGGTGGAGCCTGTGTCAGAGAAGAAGGTGGGATTGGGGGGAAACTGACTTTTGGGAGCAATACGAGTGCCCTAGAGTACTGGATGTGGTTGATGGCCACTCCAGAATGAGTGTCATCTGTGAGCAGAGACTTCTCAGACGGGGCACCAAGACAGGGCAGAAAAATAGTAAGGACTCCATAAATGGGCTTTTGGATTCAGCGCATTTGTTGGGGAAAGACAGAGTAAAACTGCCACTGACAGTAATTTTGAGCAGTCAGTGCCTTTGAGCCTAGGGAGAGGCAGGGCCGAATGGGGCAGTGAGGAGGGCTGGGTGGGGCGCAGCAGTCAGAGCTCTGGGAAGAGGAGGGGCTTAAAGGCTGATAGCTCCCTTCCTCTGGGGTCTGGAGTCAGACTCTGACCTCTGCCAGATGGTCCATAAAGCCCCAAGGTACTTATGACATAGACTCCAAGGGGGAGGGATGGGGAGCATATGTTGGGTGGTTGATAGGTTAGGGCACTTTCTTCCTTGCTGAAGATGGAAATGCAGATGGTTCAGAGAGGGGGCTGCCTGGGGACTGGGGACTTTCTCAGAATGCTCCTCTGTTTTATACTCGTTCCCAGTTGTGTATATCTGTGGCCCTCTGGAGATGCTGCATGAGATCCTGCTCCAGGCCCAGAGGGAGAACCTGACCAATGGGGATTATGTCTTCTTTTACCTGGACGTCTTTGGGGAGAGTCTTCGTGCAGGCCCCACACGCTCTACAGGCCGGCCCTGGCAGGACAATCGCACCCGGGAACAGGCCCAGGCCCTCAGAGAGGCCTTTCAGGTATCATTTGCGCCAAAAGTGGAGGAGGGGGAAAGGAAACTTCTTTGGAGATTCTCTGTCATAAGACCCACAGAAACCCCAGAAACAGGGCAGGAATTATGAGCTACAAGAGTGAAATTAACAGAGGCTTTTTGAGTCTCCTATCATTCTTCCTTACTTCCCCACTTTTGTGACTCTTTTCTCATTACTAAGGCTACCTCCCAAGATCCTGGAACATTCTCTTAAGTCCCACTAGTAGACTTTACTGTGAGGGGGAAAAGTGCAGGAAAAGACCTGGTCCTGGGCCCTGGGAGGACTTCCATCCTTTCTGGATAGGCGAGGTATGATTGAGGTACAGTTAGATACAAATACGAGAAAGAATATGATTATGTGTCCTGGAACAGACACTAACAACTTGGGGTTCAGATGAGGGAGAGTCAAAGTGAGCTGGGTTTAGGGAAGCTTTTTTATAAAGATGAGAATCTTTTGTGACTTGAAAGATAGATGCCATAGTCCTACTCTCAGCAGGAGAGAGGATCTAGGCAGTCTGAGCAAAGAGATAAAAGATAGAAATGGGCATGTTTGGGAAACCAAGAAGATACTGACCTGACAAGAAAGAAGGGTTGGCTTGAAGCAGATGTAGGAAATAATGTTGCAAAGATATAATCAGATTAAGGAGAGCTCTGAAGCTAAAATTAAGGCGCTTGGACTTGGATGTGGGGTCCTTGATATTTTTTTGTGAAGAGAAATATAAAGACAGAATTCTGGTTGGATAAGAAGAGGAGGAGGTTAGAGGCAGTGAGACCACCTGTATTCGGGTCAAATGGAGTGAGGTGATATAGGCTTCAAGGACAGTGGCAGTAGTAGGAATGGAAAGAAATGAATTTAGGAAACAACTTGCAGGGGAAATTGACATGACTGTTCATTTCACTCCTCTGCTCAAAACTTTCAATGACTAAATTCCTACAGAATAAAGTCCTGACTCCTTATCATGACATTTCAGACCTTCTACAGTCTGTGTTCAGCCCAGGTTTTCAGTCTTGCCTCCTAGTGCCCCTCATGCCCAGTACTCCAGCCAACCAGACCTCTCTCAGTTCCCCAACCCCTGGGCCTCCCTGCCCCCTTGCCGTTGTGCTCTTTGCTCTATTTTTCTGGAATGTTCTTTCTTCCCTCATGCTAAATCTCTGCCCCTGCAAATCACACCCATGAATTGTTGCCTGACTCTTCCACCAATTTTTTCACTATCTCTCCTTTTTCTGAAAAAGGATTTTAAGTGGCATGTAGGGTAACTTTAAAGTCTTTTCAACCCTGGGATTCTCTGAATCTAAAATTCAGTAGATCTTTACAAGGGCTGGACTTGGGTGGTCATCTTCTCTAATGAGTAAACTTTTGTGTGACTGTAATTATATATTTAGTGGTATCTGTGAATGACATGTCTGGTATGAGTCTGTGACTGTCACACTTGAACCTGGGCAGTGGCAGGACAGGTTTTGTTTATGCTGTCACTTTTGCCTAAAACAACCTTCTCACCTTTGTCTGTCTGGATAATGTGTGTGTGTTCTTTAAGGCTCAGATCAGTTATTTTTCCTTTGAGGAAACAATCCTTGAATCCCCAGGTTGGACTGAATTTCCTATTCTTGTGCTTAACTCCATCTCCTATAGAGCTTAACCACATTATCAGTCAATGTTTGAGTCATTTGAATATTGGCTTATTCTATTAGTGTCTGTTGAGCACCTATTATGTCCCAATCACTGTGCGAGGTACTGGTATGCAGTGGAGAACATAACAGATGTAGCCCCTGCCTGGAGCTTACATTTAGTAGGAGAGACAGACATTAAATAAGCAAATAAATACAAACATAGGACAACTTGCGGTGCGTGTTACTAAAAACCCGTGTTACTAAAAACCCCGTAAAAAATAAAACCAGGAAAAAAAAAAGTGCTTCTCATGAGAAGGGAATGGCAAGGGAATTGTACTCTAGCTAGTGTGGTCAAGGAAGATCTCTGTGGCTCTCCTGGGTGGGAGGACTCCATAGCTTTATGGGCTGTATTCTTTTTTGTGGAAGGAATATCTCTCTTTCTTGTCTGAGAATTCCTACCAGTCAAGGGGCCCTAGCACTTAGCTTAGGGGGAAATGAGATCTAGTCAGCTAACAATTAGGTAAATTAATTCTCAGTTCTCCCACTTACTGCAGGCATTATTCAGAAAAACAAAGAGGGATTTTGCTATGACACAAAAGAAGGGGAAATAGGCAGTCAAGAATATGCTGAGGGGGAAATCAAGGCTTTGGGGTGGGATGAGGGTAAGGGAGTAATGAAGTGTTTTCTAGAAAAAACTACTCATGTTGTTCTAGTGCTGAAGCAGGGCAAGGGGTGAGGGAAGTGGGCAGTCAGCTCCAGTCAAGGATGAAAGAGCAGAGAGCCCTTAACCAGAGATACCTGGTCTACTGGGGGAGAGGCTCAGAAATTAAGTATATTGATATGATTTTTCTCGCCCATTGAGCTATAGCTACTGGCGGGCAAGGATCATGCTCATCTTTGTATTCCATATGCCTAGCACATACTTGTTGAAGTGAATTACCGGGTGTGTTGGGGAGAAGCGGGGACACGACTAAGAATTTGTCTGCAGAGGAGTAGAGCCGGCAGGTACTATAAACCAAGATGATCAGCCAGGACAGAGAATACGTAGACACAATGGAGCTAAATAAGCAAATGACCAGGCTCTATGGTCCCAGGCTGTGCATTTGAGGACTACAGGGTCAAACCTAGACAGAAGTCTCAACCTAGGTGACCAGCATGAGATTGCATTACAGAGGGGACACCAGCAGCTAGAATGGAAGTCAGGGCTGGACCGAGGGCCGCGTAAGACAGAATCTCTTCTGGAGACAATTTTTTGTCTGTTTAAGCCACTGCTGACAGCGCCTCCTGATGTGGCCGAGGGGGCCTCAAACGTAGGCCTCAAGGCACACGCCAGTGCCTAGGTGTACATCTGGCTTCACTCACAGCTAAACTTGTTTTTGGCAGCCTTTGCTTGTTTTTTTTTTTCTCACCTGGAGTCCGCTGAAAAAAGGGACACCATTATCTACCTCCCTTTACCTGCTTCTCTCTAGCCCCTGAGCAAGCATAGGAATTCTTTGGACATTCTTCTTCTTTCTTGCTCTTTTTTTTAGTAGCTAGTAACCACAGCAAAACAGTCTAGCATAGCAGTTTTCAAAATGTGGTCTTGGAACCCTGGGGGTCACTGAAATCCTCTTAGAAGGACCATGAGGTCAAAACTATTTAAGAAATAATACTAAGATGTTTATTTGCGTCCTCACTCTTACTCCTCCACGATTGCACAGTGGAGTTTTCCAGAGGCTACATGACACGTGCTGCTGTTATCACTCTGGCAGCTGTCGAAGGGGTAGTTGAATATTCTTGTGTTTTAAAAGTTTGTCAGTTTTAATTTCTAAAACATAAATATTGATAGATGTAATCCAAACAATCAAAAGCTCTTTGTGGTCCTCAGTAATTTTTAGTGGTATAAAGAGGTCATGAGATCAAAAAGTTTGAGAACTGCCAGTCTAGCAAACAGATAAACCTAGAGAATTATGATGTGTTTAAAAAGTGTTAAAAACCTGTTATCAGCCTTTGTATTGAAATATAATTTGTGTTAAGCATGATCTTTTGGGGCTCTTTTCCTGATTTTTTTTTACATCGTTTGTCAACAATATCCTACCCTTCTATTTTTCTTTTATTCTTGAAACAGGTGTTACTGAACAAACCCTCCCAACTCCACCTCAGCCCCCTTCTTTTAAATTTTGCCCGAGGGTGGGAGAGTATACAAGTATGTGATCAAGGATCCAAATGCCCCAGTAAGAATAATTACATTATGAAGCAAACTCTAGTCTAATGTAATGAATACATATTAGAAACTGAATTTATTATTTCCTACCTAGAATGAATTTATATGTAATAAATCATATGTGATTTATCTAGTATCTCTATGTCCACATGTACTTTCAATGATAGGAATTAACAGAACTGGTAGAAGTCCGTAGATGTTATGTTCACAAAGTCACATTTCATAAAATACATTGATCTGAAGTCTTTCCCTGAGGTTGCGATGCCAATTTCCCATCTAAGACAAAGGCCAGTCTCAGTGATTGGGTAGGCCTGAGGTGTAGGCAGAGGCCAGTGTGTCCATCAGCTAAGGAAGGGAGAATGTGTAAGGTCGGTGGGAGTCACATGGGCACCCCAGTGAGAGACAGAGATGTGCTAACTTAAGGCCAGTGAGATGTGGGTGTGGCTGAGATCACATATGTCATTTGCTCGTCTGTGAAATGTGTGTGGGCATATGACTACATGTTTTCTCTGTGACACATGTCTACTACTTAGTGACATATAGGACCATGCCACTATGCAGGACAGTGTTGCTGATGGTAGGTGTTCCACACGTTAAATGAATGGGTCCACAACTTTTCACAGATGGAATCATTGTCTCCAAGTATTTCCCCCAGTTGTCATAGAACCTGAAATCTCTTTTATTTACTAGAATGGAGGCACCGTTCCAAGTGGCCCAAATGAAAATATAAACACTTTTTTTTTGAAAATATAAACATTTAACTGATAACATTAACAGTGATTAAGACCTCAGAGAGGAGCTGTTTTATCAGTGTTGTCCTTGATAGTGAATAGGAAGGGACAGAGCGAACAGCTGTGAGTGCTGTGGCAGCCTGGCAGGGAGGCTTGGCTGGTGGAGACGCTTGGGGATGGAGTTGATTTCATCTATTTCCTAGTTGCCACCTTCCCAGAACCATGCACCTTTCATGGAGGAGTGCCACTCACTTCTTCCCAGATGTATTAAACATATTCCATACATATATCACACACACAGGGGCACACACAACACAGAGTTTAGTATCCTCTCAGCCTTCAGACTCACCCGTGTATATTTCATATCATGTGTATTTCACCAAGTTTCCCTATCCTGCTTCCTCTCTTCCCCAATGCCTATCTTGAATCCTTTTCACTCTCCCCCATGTGCTGTTGGTACAGACAGTATTGGTGATCACATACCGAGAACCCCCAAATCCTGAGTATCAGGAATTCCAGAATCGTCTGCTGATAAGAGCCCGGGAAGATTTTGGTGTGGAGCTAGCCCCCTCCCTGGTAAGTAGATCTCTGTTTCCTGAGAGTCAGGCCAGGCTTTGAGGAAAGGCTCTTCTCCCTAACTCAGCATTAAGCCTTGGCCGTGGAGCCAGCCATACATGGGAACTGTCTGCTTTTATACAGGATTTTTCTTTCTGCCCTTTTGTCAAGTGAGGTAGGGCTGGCACTTTAGGAATGACAGGAAGGAAGGAAGCAAACCAGAAGAGAGAAGAGGTAGAGGGAGACCCCAGAGATGGGAAAGGGGGCTGGGGAGGGGGCTGGCAGTTCATTTGGAGAGCACTGCTGAAGTTACCACCCCTAGATGAACCTCATTGCTGGCTGCTTCTACGATGGGATCCTGCTATATGCTGAAGTCCTGAACGAGACAATACAGGAAGGAGGCACCCGTGAAGATGGACTTCGAATAGTGGAGAAGATGCAGGGCCGAAGATACCACGGTAATGAAGAAGGCCAGGAGGAGACCAGAGGGCTGCTCTCAGGCCTGGGAGTGGAGTAGGCAGAAGAAAATACAAGATACGAGGGGCAGGAGGAAGTTAGTGGGGAGGTCAGAGAACGTGGTAGAGGTGGGCGTGTATTAAGAACAGGGGCAGGGAGGGACTCTAAGGAATTAGAGGAATCAGGGCATAGGAGAGGGGCATAGAGTAGATCTCAAAGTAAGGGCTACTCTTTTCTATCTTAGGTGTAACTGGACTGGTTGTTATGGACAAGAACAATGACCGAGAGACTGATTTTGTCCTGTGGGCCATGGGAGATCTGGATTCTGGGGACTTCCAGGTGATGGGGGAAGAAGCAGGGAGGAGAATGTGGGCCCTGAATATCCAGCTTTCAGAGGTTCAGTGGGGCAGAACCAAAGGTAGTAGAGGCAGGGACTTACTTTCTCTGCTGGAGCTGCATGCTGGGTAGGTGGGAAGTTGGGAGAGAAAAGCAGCCAAATAGCTGGGGTCTGGGAGAGAGGCTGGTGGGAGCAGGCCTGTGGGCCCAGTTTTCTCCTTCCTCACAGCCTGCAGCTCACTACTCAGGAGCCGAGAAGCAGATTTGGTGGACAGGACGGCCTATCCCCTGGGTGAAGGGGGCCCCCCCCTTGGACAATCCCCCCTGTGCCTTTGACTTGGACGACCCATCCTGTGATAAAAGTGGGTGTGTGCAGGGGTTGGGAGTAATTCTTCCTCCCCTCCCTCCCATTCTTTCACCTCCCCTCCCTAACTCCCCACCCTTAGCTCTGTTTTCCTTGACTTGTATACTGTATACCCCTTCCTCACTTCTTTCCCTCCAGAAATCTGTCTGCGTCTCACACCCTGAGCACCACCCCCGCCCCGTCCTCAGCTCCCCATAGTCTTTCTCAGGGTCCCCTCTCTCCTTCAGCTCCGCTTTCAACTCTGGCGATTGTGGCACTGGGCACAGGAATCACCTTCATCATGTTTGGTGTCTCCAGCTTCCTCATTTTCCGGTGAGTTCTGGCCTTCCCACCGACCTGCTCCCTCCCTCCCACTGCCCAGGCTTTCTGGGGGTTAGTGGGTATCTTTCGTTTGATGGCTACCTCTTAGGCCTACCTCTCTAGCCTTTCTCGTTAAGCTGTCTTTTAGCCTAGGTGTTGTTTTCCCACTTTTGGTTCTAGACTGGGTGTCCTAACTAGGGATTTTGAGTGGGGTTTTATAAGGGCAAAGGTGAATTTTCCGTGAATGCTACCATTTTAAGAAAGAACTTTTACCTTCAGCCTCTGTGTTTTCAAGTGAGCAGAGGGCATGTATCCCCTATGTAGAGAATGCATCCTTCTGTCTCAGTCCTGCAGCGAGTCCCGCCTCAGGTATAAAAGTTGTAGCATCGGGAGCTTCGGGGAAGCCGCTGAAACCCCACTGTTGGCTTACGGGGTGGCAGGATTGGGCTTGCCAGTCAACTGAGATGTGCAGTCCTTACAGAAAGCTGATGCTGGAGAAGGAGCTGGCTAGCATGTTGTGGCGCATTCGCTGGGAAGAACTGCAATTTGGCAATTCAGAACGATATCATAAAGGTGCAGGCAGTCGCCTCACACTGTCGCTGGTAAGCCCTTGTCTCAGCTGTCCCTCTGCTTCCCTCTGAGTTCCTGTCCTTTCGTACCCTGGACCTTTCCCAGCACATTGGCCTGTAATGATAGCCCCTGCACTGCCACCATCATCTAATGTTCCTTTCATCCTTCCGCCTCCATGTTGCCCTTGGCCCCAGCGGGGATCCAGTTACGGCTCGCTCATGACAGCCCATGGGAAATACCAGATCTTTGCCAACACCGGTCACTTCAAGGTGAACAGTCATCCGCTTGTTCTGGTCCCCACCATTTCATCCTGTCTCATCCCCATCTATCACCTCTTCCCACAAATCTCTGCCCCTCATAACCTTCCTTCCTGTGTCCAGCTGAGCTCCTGGATGTCCACAGTTCTCCAGTATTTCCCAGCACCCAGGAACTAATTTCCCTTTTCCTCTTTCACTCCCGCCATCAGGGAAATGTTGTTGCCATCAAACACGTGAATAAGAAGCGCATTGAGCTGACCCGGCAGGTTCTGTTTGAACTCAAACATGTATGTAATGGTGTGTGGGTTCGGGGTTCAGGGTAAAAAGGGATGGAGAAGAGGAAAGGGGGAAGAAGAGAGGGGAATAGTAAAATTGGCTAGGAGGTCAAGGGGTTCATTTATAAGTGATTTTAAGTTGCAGGTACAATTAAGAGAAAGGCTCTCTCATGCAGTGGTAGATTTCTGTATCTCTTTGAATTCTCTCCCCCGCCCCCTCACCTTTTGTTGTTATTGTTGTTAGATGAGAGATGTTCAGTTCAACCATCTCACTCGCTTCATTGGTGCCTGCATTGACCCTCCCAACATTTGCATTGTCACCGAGTATTGTCCTCGTGGGAGTTTACAGGTAAGGGAAAGGTAGAGATTCTAGGGGCAGGGGAGAAAGGCCTGTGTTAGCTAGTGCTACTAGGATAGTCACATAATCTGTTCCATGTCACTACCAGGATATTCTGGAAAATGACAGCATCAACTTGGACTGGATGTTTCGTTATTCGCTCATTAATGACCTTGTTAAGGTGAGTCTTCCCCACTCTTTCTTAAGAGTTCATCTGCTTTAAAATGCCTTTGTTTCTTGATCTTTGCTTTCAGCTTCTCCTTCCTAGTCCTCTAAAAGTCCCATTTTCTCCAGTTCCCCTTATTCCTCTGGTTGGACAATAATGGGTAAATAAAGGGTCTGGAGTTTTTTTTTTTTTTTTTTTTTTTTTTTTTAAATTTTTTTTTTTCAATGTTTATTTATTTTTGGGATAGAGAGAGACAGAGCATGAACGGGGGAGGGGCAGAGAGAGAGGGAGACACAGAATCGGAAACAGGCTCCAGGCTCCGAGCCATCAGCCCAGAGCCTGACGCGGGGCTCGAACTCACGGACCGCGAGATCGTGACCTGGCTGAAATCGGACGCTTAACCGACTGCGCCACCCAGGCGCCCCGAGTCTGGAGTTTTTAATTGGGGGAGATGTATTGGCCACAGTGAGTCCTGTACTTGTAAAGAAGTTTCGTGTTCCTGCCCTAAATATCTCATCTCTTGCCATCATCTCTTTTTTTGTTTTGTTTTTAAACCTCCACGAGCTTATGTTAAGATTTCTTAGCAGGAAAAAAATGAATGAGGTCATCAAACATAGAATCATGTATTCTCTGACCAATATTTGGCATATCTGCTCTTTTGTTCAGAAAAACTGAAATTTTATAAAGAACGTTTACTAGTAAAACTAAGAGAAACCAAGGAAAATTATCCTAAACCTGTAGTATCTCCCCATATATTAGGTTTTAGCTATCTTCAAGTGACCCAGAGGCCCGTGGGTTTAGAGAGGTATGAATTTGAATCTTGCATGGGTCGGACAGGTGTTTAGAGCAAGTGCTGCAGCCAGTGAGTTAGCCCAGTGGGTCACTTGTACTGCACCTGAAGCTGGCTTTGGCTTTTCTGTTTAATTCTCATGAGGTTATTTAGAATTTTTGTGTGTGTGTGAAAGTTTGCCATTAAATGAGATAAAATATTAGGTAAAGTTGATGTGTTGGCTGTGACATTAAATATAAGAAAAATATGACTTTTGAGAGAACAATAATTTGATGGAAAAGTGATTTAGAACAAAGCCAGAAGCCTGATTAATCCTTTCTGTATTCACAAATTTGGTGACTCCCAAAGGTTTTGTTGATATCAAAAGGAATAAAAAGGAGGAGTTCACAGAGACTGGAATTATGAATTGTTTATGTCCAGAGCTAAATATTTAGACACGGTTGTTTTGGTTAGCATATAGAACACTGCATCCTTTTTCTGTTCCACCTGAACTGACGTGGGTGGGCTCCTAGGGTTTCATTTTGGGAAGCATCACTCTGCCTTCTTAGGACCTGCCTGATGGTCCCTCATACACAAAGGTTTTCTCCTGTCTGGCCCCACGGGGCCAGAAGTGTCTGGTTTCTGTGTTGGCTTGGCAGCTGTCTCCGACTTTTGTCCATTTTCCAGGGTTTTACTAATTTACTATTTTCTCCACTTTCTCTCTGGCCCTTACTTTCCTCCTCCATCCTGACTTGCCTGCCTACACATGGTTATATGTTACAGTTGACAACTGGTTAGTCTTGGTACATCTAGGTACTCTGGATAGCTGAGTCTCTAGCCTTCCTAGGTTTTCCTAGTGGTGGCCGTACATTTGAGGCCATCGTGGGTGTCAGTCACATCAGTCTTAGAGTTCACCCTCCTAGTTCTGTTCACTACTCAGAAGACTGACTCCTCTTTCTAGGGTAAATAACTGATAGCTCCCCTTGTCCTTCCCCTTAAACATTTCTTCTGTCCCTGGTGCCTAGGTGCCAATATACCGTTTATGGTACCAGGAAGGGATAACTGTCCTATTCAGCCTGCTTCTTTGGGTAGAAACTGCAAAGGATGCCTTCCAAAAGTAGCTTATGGTTTTTATGGTCCCAAGATCTTCAGACAGCTAGCTAATGCCCATCTCATAGAGAGGGGGTATCCTAAGCCATATATGATCCAAACCCATGACTTGATCTGTATCCTGCAGGGCATGGCCTTTCTCCATAACAGCATTATTGCATCCCACGGGAGTCTCAAGTCCTCCAACTGTGTGGTGGATAGTCGTTTTGTGCTCAAAATCACAGACTATGGCCTGGCCAGCTTCCGATCAACTGCTGAACCTGACGACAGCCACGCCCTCTATGCCAGTGAGGCCTTCCCCCACAACTCACTTTTATATAGCTCCTCTGGCCTTGATCATTTCCACCTAGGGAGGGTGGGAGAGGGAGATGGGATGACAGGAACATGGGGAGTATTATGGGCTCTTTTTGAGGACCTGGCCAGCCTGTTCCTTCTTTTTAGAGAAGCTGTGGACTGCCCCAGAACTGCTTGGTGGGAACCCGTTGCCAACCACAGGCATGCAGAAGGCTGATGTCTATAGCTTTGGGATCATCTTACAGGAGATAGCACTTCGCAGTGGTCCTTTCTACTTGGAGGGCCTGGACCTCAGCCCCAAAGGTGAGAGGCAATCTACTACCCACAGACTGCTCTACCTGGGGGACCCTGTTCTTCATCCAAACCCTTTATCACCCTCAGAGATTGTCCAGAAGGTCCGAAATGGTCAACGGCCATATTTCCGGCCGAGCATTGACAGGACCCAACTGAATGAAGAGTTGGTTTTGCTGATGGAGCGATGTTGGGCCCAAGAACCAGCTGAGCGGCCAGACTTTGGACAAATTAAGGGGTTCATTCGCCGCTTTAACAAGTGAGAGGGCACTTAGGGGGCAAGGGCTCCCCAGGGATAGAAGCCTCATCAGTCTTGGTGGATGAGGTGTGTGGGGCTGGTGGGTCCAAGAAGGTGGGTTGGGTAGGAAGTCCTGGGAGTCTTGAGAATCTGGGAGCAGGTACCATATTCTGGCCTCCCCCCAGGGAGGGCGGCACGAGCATACTGGACAACCTGCTGTTGCGCATGGAGCAGTATGCCAATAACCTGGAGAAGCTGGTGGAGGAGCGCACACAGGCCTATCTGGAGGAGAAACGCAAGGCTGAGGCTCTGCTCTACCAAATTCTACCCCAGTGAGAATTTGTCACCCTTCCCCAACCTTCCTTTGATATTCTACTCTGTTGAGTTCTGCCTGATCAATCTCCTGAGAACTCACTTCCCAACTCTTAGAATGCTGCTTTGTTATATCTTGACACAGTGAGCCTTTCTGGCTTTACACAGTGTGTTGTCATTTTGTCTTCAAATGAGCTTTGCTGCCTTCTGATTCCTATCCCTTCTTAGGACACTGCTCTACCATGCCTTTGCACCAGCAAGTGTATGTAGAACAATCCCAACTTGAGACACTTAGTGCCCATCCCTGGGGTCCCCTTCCAACCCCCACCACTTAAATGCTTTACTTGAGCTAGTCTGTAATGTCTTCCCAGCCACCTTCCTCCTCTTCTACCAGGCTTAGCTTTCATAACTCCTCTTCTGCTCAACCATATACCCCTTTTCTCTCCCCCTCTCATCCTCTTTCTCTCAGTTTGGCTCATACTGCACCCTTGCTTCCTAGTTCAGTGGCAGAGCAGTTAAAACGGGGAGAGACTGTACAGGCTGAGGCCTTTGACAGTGTTACCATCTACTTCAGTGACATTGTTGGCTTCACAGCTTTGTCAGCAGAGAGCACCCCCATGCAGGTGAGAGCCATGGGTGAGAAGTAGGGGGTGGGATAGGGATCTGGGGAACTTCACTGGGGCATAGGAATCCTTGACAATAGGGGAGATTCCTTTGTTCTGGAGTTCCCATATTTTGTTCTAGCTTATGGGTTAAGAATTCTTAGAAAGTTAGGCACAGGTTTCAGGGGCTCTACTTTCCCATCCTGTTAGGTGGTGACACTTCTTAATGACCTGTATACCTGCTTTGATGCCATAATTGACAACTTTGACGTCTACAAGGTGAGAGCCAGGGCTACCCTCCTACTGAGACCCCTTTAAAACCCAGTCTCCCCAAACCCTACATACCTACCTGCTCCATTGGCAGTTTGCCCTCCTGGGTCTCCAGCACCCTAGTACTGGGTGCCCTTTGTAGACAGACAAGGCTCTGGCACTCTAATTGTACATCCTAGTCTAATTTCTTGTGAATCCTCAAGCTGCCCTAATTGGAACCATCACAGGATCTAGAGCCTATCTGCCACTTTTTGCCTAGGGGTATAAATGTTGTCTATGGTCTTTTCTCTTCCCTCCATTCTCTCTAGACATGGACGAATCATATGGGATGTAGGTACAGAATGACTTATGGGGCTGAGGAACAAGCTGCCTTGTAAAAAATTTTGTTGAAGTCATGAGTTGGCACGGCGTGGGCTTTATTTACTGTGCCTGGCAGTAAAAATCATCAGGATTTAGGTGTTGACTTTGTGACTGTGTGGCCTTGGACAAGTAACTGTAAAGCTCCTTGAGCCTCAGGTATTTTACGTAGAAGATGGGAATAATAGATTTATTGTGGAAATGTCTAACATTACACCAACAATACATATGTGTTCCTGTCCCTTTATTTGGACTTATTCTACCACGTCTGTTATTACTGTGACAATAAACCCTTTACTCAGATTGACCAATTATTCATACTTTACCCCCATTTGCTTCATTTTTTAAAAATATATCTATCAACCTAATTACTTTTTGAACCATTTGAGAGTAAGTTGCAGGCATAGTGCCCCTTTATCCCTAAACAGTTCAGTGTCTAGTTCCAAAAAACAGGACATTCTTTTGTATAGCTTCAGTACAATTAACACAGCCAAGCGTCTGCTTTCTTACCTTGGACAGTTCAGGCTGTCTGAGGCCTATTTCACTGGGCCTGCCTGACCTCACCGGCCTCTGTGCTCTTCAGGTTAGGCCTGTTTCCTTGCTTCCCACCTCCTGACAGCAGAGCCTATTTGTTCACATCTTGTTGCAGACAGGGTATCCATTCCCTCAGCAAATGCTTACTGAGTGTTCACCAGGTACAGGGGTGGTTGTGGGAGGATTTAAAGACGCCCTGAAACTCTGCCCACACCCCACCCCTGATTCTCAGCACCACAGCACTCATTTTCCAGTCGATGCTCTGGCCTCCCAGGCTGCTGGGATGGCTCATAGTGGTGTCCAGCTTGTCTCTTTCTGCTCTTACCCATTCCCACTGATACACATAGAGGTGACTTTTTAAACCCCATCTCAATCAGGTAGAAACGATTGGAGATGCCTACATGGTGGTGTCTGGTCTCCCAGGCCGAAATGGTCAACGTCATGCCCCGGAAATTGCTCGTATGGCTCTAGCACTACTGGATGCAGTTTCTTCCTTCCGCATCCGCCACCGACCCCATGACCAGCTGAGGCTACGCATAGGGGTCCACACGGGTAAGGCTGACTCTCACTCCGTCCCTCGTATCTGCTTTTCCCAGGCTCCCCCAACCTGTTTCTTCTCACAGGGCCCGTCTGTGCTGGGGTTGTTGGCCTGAAGATGCCCCGCTATTGTCTCTTTGGAGACACGGTGAACACTGCCTCCCGAATGGAGTCTAATGGTCAAGGTAAAACAGCAGCCCTCCACCCCAGCCTCAGCCTCAATTTGTGGTGCCCTTTTCTTCTTTTCAGAGTTCTTCCAAATCTCTCAGTCTGAGAGACCACAGTTCCTGACCACCCCATTCTTGGACATATTTTGGTTCTAGTGCATGTGCCCCGGGAAGACTGAGAGCCTCCTGAGGGGTGGTGGTTTGGTAAAGCTCTCTCCAGTACTGCCAACTCTTCTATTGTCTTTTCTTTGATTCATTTTTCCACCATCCCGGCACCCCATCCCACCCCAGCCCTGAAGATCCATGTCTCCTCTACCACCAAGGATGCCCTGGATGAGCTAGGATGCTTCCAGCTAGAGCTTCGGGGGGATGTGGAGATGAAGGTGATGGCAGGCCATGGGGGAGGGGTCATGGAAAGGGAGGATGAAAACAATTATGGGGATTATGGGGAAAAGACAGAGATAAAAAGAATAACATAGAAGAATCTGAATTATCTTCACTCCCCCACTTCCAGGGAAAAGGAAAGATGCGAACTTACTGGCTCCTAGGAGAGCGGAAAGGCCCTGCTGGGCTCCTGTAAACCCTACTTCTTCCTAAGTGAGACAATCTCCTGCTGCTGGTACCTGGGTGGGCAGCAGTCACCATCTCTCTACACACCGGAAACGGACACTGTCATGTAAGATGGAAACCAACGTGCACAAAAACCCTACTTTGTAAGGAAGTCGTTGCCCTTTGCAGCTTAGCCTTGTACATATACCTGCCTCCCTCTGGCCTGGTTCCCTTCTTCCCTACCTTCTGTAAATATCTGTATCTAAACCAGAATATTTTGGCCAAATATAAAACAACAAAAAATGTCATGGTGTCAGAGTCTGGGTTAGGGGCAAATCCAAGGAACATGGTTACTCACAGAATCACTGAATTAGCAGTCTCAGGATGAGAGAGAACCCTTTATGTGAAGCCTCTTCACCAAGTACAGACAGAATTCACTTCCTTTCTACCTCTCCAGTACAGACAGAAATCGATTCCATAGTCCATATCCCTCTTCCCCCCTCAACCCTTAGATAGTAGTTCCACCCATTCCACCTCCCTGTCCTCCTCCCTGACAGACAAGGGAAGATATTTCTCCCAGTTGGTGGGAATAATTCTCAGGTTCATAGGGCAAAGGCTGCCCCAGAGACAGAGGCACTGGTGTTGAGAAGCTGCAGTTCTTCCGGAATGGCGTGTCCAGAGTCTTGATGCTACTGACACCCTGGAGGAAGGCCAGAATGAGGACAGATCCCGCTCTGCACCAAGCCAGAACAGAACAGCCTCTTCCCCCTCCTTGTTTTCCCCGACTCCTGACACCCTCACACACCGGTAGCTGTGGTGCCCTCTGTATCCAGAAGGTTTCAGGTTGCTCCCGACGGTAGTTGTGAGGCTGGAAGGGAAAGATACTGAAAAACTCTTGGTTTGAAGCTCCCTCTCTTAACCTCTGCTGCTCTCCCACAGCCCATTAGAGCCCAGCCGTACAAGTGGGATGGGATAAGTTCTCACCTTGGTTGGGGCAGGAGGCCCGGCTTGCACCAGCTCCTTTCGGTAGTCATGGTGTGTCACAGACTCGACCTCAAACTGCTTCCTTGTGGCTTCCTGCTCTGCCTGCACCTCTTTACTGTATAGTCCTGGGGGCGTCAAAGCCATTCTTCCCTGATTTTTGTCTTCCCCGCCTCCCCTTTACCCTTCGCCCAGCCTCTCACCAGATCTGGTGGCGCAGGAGCATCTCCAGCATGGCTTCACGCTTTCCTGTAGGAGGGCAGGGAGTGGAGAGAGTGGGAGAGTCTGGTTAACAAGCAGGCCCAAAGAAACAAATGTGAGAAAAGAAGGAAAATCATGGGGTTTTACCCTTGTACCCATTAAACAATCCATAGTCCCACTAGAAATTCCTTCCTCTCTTTTATCTCTGATTGCTCATTCTGGCCCATTCTCTCATGCTTCACACCTCGAGTTGGCTGATAGCAGTTTCGTGGGGGCTGGTATGAGTCTTTCTGAGTGGTGCTGAAGGACATGGGTGACTGTAGCTGCAGGGTCAGCAGTCCCTGGTGTCCATGTCGGAAGAAGAAACTCTCAGAGCCATCCTGCATGCTTGGGACTTGATCCAGGTGGTTGGTGGCTCTCTGTGGGCCCCAAGTTGAGTGACCAGGATGTCCTTTATGGCACCCACCCTCATCATAAACTACTGCCTCCCCCAGGAAATTGGGGACAGTCTTCAGGAAAAGGGAGCAGGTCAAAACCTTAATACCTCCTCCTCCCAGTTGTAGAGAAGGCTGTGGCCCCGTGGCAATGTTTCATTGGGAACCTTACACTTCCCTTCAACCTCAGGGGTCTTCCAATGCCCTCGGGCACCAGGTTCTGAGACTTGCAAAAATTTCCAGGGTTGTTTCCGGGGTTCCCAGTGGCAGTAGTGATTCCAGGAGGCATAATTAGGGACCAGATCTGCTTGGGGGGTTCTGAAACTTGGAAGATTGTAGGGGCTGGGCTCACGGTCATGGCCACAGCCTGGACTAGGCCCAGCGTCAGTAGCAGGACCAGGGCCAGAATCAGGACCAGTGTCTTGACCAGAGCCATGGCAGGAACCAGAACTGGAGCCAAGAATAGGGCCAGGACTAGAGCTAAGGTCTTTTGTAGTACAGGGATCCTGAGCAATATGGGAAACATAGATAGGCTCAATGCCAAGTTTCCCATGGCCAATGCTGTGGGTAAAGCTGGCTCCAGTGCAGGGATCCCCCAGAAGACTGTCAGAGGAGTGGTTCATGAGAAGGTTCGGCTCAGAGTGGCACGCTGGGGTCTTTGCGGATAACACAGTCGCTTTGTCGGTGGAGGAGGCCGCAGCTGCTGTAGTTGCGGCTGCCAGGGCCGTTATAGGATGGCCATCCGAAGAAAATGGTTCTGAAGTGGACCCTAGTCCTTCAGTGCCAGGCTGTACATCTAAAGATCTGAAAGAAAGCGAATGCGACAAAGTTGTCAAAAGCGGTGTAAGTCCGCTGACCTTTCTTGTCCCCTTACACCAGCCGCCAAAGCTGCCGCTCTCACCGACATCTCGATCCCTTGGTAGACTGCGCGGTCTCCATCTTCAGTCTCCAGCTACCGGGTTGCCATAGAGACGGCAAATAATTCCAGGAGACTGCGCAGGACTAGAGTTGGGCGGAAGTGCTGGGTGGGGGTGGAGACAAATTCTCTGCGGGGCGGAAGTCTTAAACCTGGGGAAGTCTAGGAAGTTTGCTTTCTGTTCAGACTCCGTTCCGCCTCAGCCCAGCTCTTAAGGTTCCGCTAGTCTAGGGTTCTGCCTTCTACACTTAAGCATGATTCTTTCTGAGGCTTTCTAAGGTGGTTCTTTGTGTTGGAGACAAGCACAGGGCTTTAGTATCAGACAGTGTACTTGTGTAGGGGCAACAGTAACTTACCCGCAGTTCATTCTAAAAAATGGGGTGGGGCAGGGAGTCTTTTAAAAGTTTAAGGTTTAAAATACATCAAACAACTAAAAAGCAAAATGGTGAGACATGGGGATCAAAGAGTGGCAGCTTTTTTTTTTTTTGGTGTGATTACTTCTCCTTCAGTAAAAGACCCTCACGTTGATCATCCTCCTCCCAGACCACCCTAGAACTTGTCTTGGCATCTGAATAAGGGCCAGGATTGAGTGTCTCACCCCTGGGTTTCAGTCTCTCCCCACTCATATAGGCTTATTTCTATTGCTATTTTTCAAGAAGCTTGACCCAGGTGGACCATTTGTCATGAGGACTCACAAATCTATAGGCAAATGCTTCTTTCACTACAGGATGGGCCTCCTTAATGTCTCTCACTCAGACCATAGTCAAGACCATAATCTTTTTTTTTTTAACATTGTATTTTTAAGTAATCGCCACACCCAACGTGGGGCTCGAACTCAAGCCCAAGATCAAGAGTTTGCATGCTCCAACAACTGAGCCAGCCAGGTACCACAGAATCATTATCTTTAATGTTTTCTTTTCTATTTGTGATATAAATCTTTATATATTTAAGACAGTGATCCAAAATTGAGGGAGAACAAGTTTATTAGCATCATAGGGTCCCTTTTCCCCCATCCTCCAAGAATCCAGGTCTTGGGTTCTTGGTCAGTTGGAAGGTTCAACCTGGAGGCCACTGGAGCTGTCGGCCCCCAAGTACATGAATGTGCAGATGATACACGGACTGTGAGCCCAGCTTCCCATCATTGATCACTGAAATGGAGCTTGGGGTTAGGGGGTCAGGATCACGGGAAAGGTCAAAGAATAAAGATCATATTGAAGGGTAGGTATGAGAATTCATAGGCAAGGGGCTCAATGGCCAAAAGTCACTCACCAAGTCGGTATCCATCTCCCAGCCCCTCAGCCTTTGCTGTCTTCTTAGCCACAAGGAGAAGGTGTCCTAGAAGCTAGAGGGAAAGGGAGGGAGATGGGTGGCTTCATTCACAGAGAGCAAAACCTCTAGCTGAGTCCAGGGTTCCCCCCAAAGCCAAACCTTGGCTCTATTCTTCCCACCTGCTGGTCTTCTTCTTCAGCCTGGCTAATCCGAGGAATGGGCTTCTTAGGAATGACCAGGAAGTGCACAGGAGCCTGAGGGGCCACATCACGGAATACGAGACACTGGAAGCAGTGAAGGGCCAGAGGCCACCTTGTTACTTCAACAGGCTGATGGTACCTATTAAATTCCCAAGAGGATGGGTCCTAAGGGCACCCCACCTGCTGGTCCTCATACAAAATGTCAGCTGGGAGGCTTCGATCCAGGATCCGGGAGAAGATAGTTGGGGCTGCTCCCTGAGGAGCTGCCTGCTGGGCCTTGGACACTTCATTTCCATCGGTCACACCTGCAGCTCCTCGGACCTGAAAGTGGGTCAGACATACCCAAGGGAGGGGGTTGACAATACCTCTCCCATACAGTCAGGAGCTGGCAGAGGCCGGGCTCTGATAATCATTAACTTCACCCTTCTAAGAACCTATTAGTGGCTCCCATCCTAAGGAAAATTTCCTCAATTTCAGAGTGTCAGCAGTAGAGAGTAGGGTCAGATAGTGCTGAGCCTGGTTAGATACAATACAGGATTCAGTACTGCAATTGATTCCTGTTCCTAAAGTGTCTAGTAAATTTAGCACTGTTCAGGAGAAAGGACACAGGATGAGAACTGGAAACTTAAGATTTGGTTCCTCTTTTATCACGGAATTACCTTAGATAAATCCCTCCTCTTGGCTTCAAATATAAAGTTTTCTGCATCATCTTTTAAGACCATTGGAGCTCTTTCCCTGTACTCAAGCCCTGTTACTAAGTTTCCACTTATTTCCATTACTTGTTATCTAATCTCTAAGGTATTTTACCTGTTTTATTCAGGTTTTCACACAATTTCCCTGTTTGACACAAACATGTCTTGGTGTTACATCTGAGCTCTTTTGTGAATTTTAACTCCAGTTCCTTGAATCAGTGAAAGGAAGAGTTAAGTGAATTCAGCAACGACAGCCGCAGGGGACTGAGGGTAGGGATGCCCGTTTCCGGGGGCTCAGAGAAGGCTCAAGTCAGTGCTGTCACACTATGGGAGAAAGAGTTGGGATGAACCTGACCCCTCTGGTAAATGGGAAGATGAGAGATTAACACGTGTTAAGAAGGCCAGGGGTCTGAGGCGGGCAGGAGACTGGCTCCGAGAAGACAAACCTCACTTCCTGCAGGGGGCACTCAGGAGGCTGCCCGGAACAGGCGTTCGGTTTTAGGAGGCAGCAGCCAACGCACCGACCCTGTCGCCACCTGGGCGCCCGAGCCACCGCCGAGAGGCTGCTGCCGACTACCAGCCCGACCTCGCCAAGCGGCCTTGGAGCTTGCGCCTCCAGGAGAGGCAGCATTCCCTGCCAGACGCTCGGGCTCCGTCCCCGCGAGGCCAATGGGCTGCACGCGCCTGGGGGAGAACGCCGGCCCCGGAGGGCAGCAGAGCCCGCGGGACGCCCTCCGCGCCCCCGCGGCCGCTCCTCACCTGCGCCCCCCGCGGCCCCACCAGCGCTACAGCCCCGCGCGCCACGCGCAGCCCGGCGGCCAGCACCAGGGCCGCCGCCATCTTGCCCTCAGCCGCCGAATCTCTCCTCCGGCCAGCAAGCAGGCCCCGCAGTAGCCCGAGGTGGGGGCCGCCACGGAGCCGGCAAACGACGGCCATTGGCTCCGCTGGAGGCCGCGAGCGAGCCCTGCCATCCCATTGGCCGCGCTCCTGGGCTTCTCTTGAGGTCCTTTGGACCAGAGGGTGGTGTCATTCACTCCACTGGCTCCGCCGCCACGGTGGGGGCGGAATCTTTTCATCCCATTGGCTGCTTCTGCCAGTTCGTGGGCTAGTTTTCCACTTCATTGGCTTCGACTTCTGGTCAGAGTGAAAGTTCCTTTGCCATTGGGCCCCCTAAGTGTTTCCCCAAGAGACTTTCTCACTCCATTGGAAGGATTAAGAGACGTGGGATTTAACTCCGTTTGGCTCTGCTGCACAACATTGGTGCGGCGCCGAGCCTCTGACATCGTAGACCCTCTCCCCGCATTGGTCAGGAGGAGGGCGGGTTCTGTGGGCGGGCACTCGGCGCTGGCTGGCTCCGGGAATCACCGCAACCCCTGGAGGCCAAGGTTTTAGGAGTCCCGGAAGAAGGGGGCGGGAATGCCTGCCCTGTGAGGCTGAAGGTGAACTGAGACCGGTCCTTTTATCTTTTTTTTTTTT